TAGAAAAGTGTTTTTTCTCAATTCCTAAAAACATATTGCTACAGATTTTCATTTTCTTAATTAATTTTTTAATTTTTATTTTTGGCTGTGCCACACGGCTTGTGGGATCTTAGTTCCCGGACCAGGGATCAAACCCACTCCCTCGGCAGTGAAAGCGTGGAGTTCTAACCACTGGACCACCGGGGAATTCCCATGTAACACATGTAAACAAGTGTCCTTTACGTGGTATATTTAGTGGCACGTTTTCCACATTTTTTGTGCATTTTCTTGTTGATTTCACTGTTTAAAATGGCCTAAGTATAGTCCTAAAGTACTATCTAGTTTTCCTACGTGCAAGAAAGCTGTAATGTGCTCTGTACAGACAATAACTTACTACATAAGATTTGTTCAGGCATAAGTTATAGTGCTACTGGGCATGAGTCCAGTGTTAATGAATCAATAATATATATTAAATAAGGTGTCTTTAAAACAAACAAACAAAACATAAAACGTATATATTTATGCACTGATAAATATGTGACTGGAGGCTTGAGGAACCTAACCCCATACTCCTCCGGGAGTGATGGTTTAGTATTCACTAATTCAGTGTTTGTGGTGACTTTATAGAATATAACTTATTGTGAGTAATGACAATGGACTGTATTTTATTCAACCAGATTTGCAAAGCTCATCCTATACCACGATGAACATTTTATGCTCAGTTGGAGAGAATACACAGAAAATTAGCAAAAAGTTCTTTAAACATTTATAATTAGTGGATTGGTAAAAAGGTTCTTCTTAAAATATGACTCAGGGGACTTCTTTGGCAGTCTAGTGGTTAAGACTCCATGCTTCCGCTGCAGGGGGTGCGGTGGGTTCCATCTCTACTCAGGGCACTAAGATCCCACATGCCGCGCGTTGCGGGCAAAACAAAACAAAAATATCTGATGTTATTTCTGGCAAAAATCTTAATGTTTCAATCTAATTTTCCTTATCAACCTTCCATTCTTTTCTTACCAAGAATAATTACAGATGTGGTCCCATCTCCAACCTCTTCATCCTGTGTCCGGCTAATTTCAATCATGGACTTGGCTGCTGGATGCTGTACTTGAATCTGAAAGAAAGACCTCTTAACCCATTCTGCTTGGTCCTAACTCTTGAGCTTCTTGCTTCTACACTGACTCCCTTTTATTGTTTTACCACAGCTTTAAAGATTAAAAGTGGCCCCTAAGAGATCTAAGTAAAACACCTTTCCAAGTCTTTCTTTTTGGGGAAAAATGCATTAGGACAACTTAACTACTGAAGTTTCTTGAGAACAGAACAGTATCTTTTAGCTTATTTATTGGGAACACCACTGTTGTGGTTGAATTGTGTCCTCTGAAAGAACATGTTGATGTCTCATCCCCTGAAAATTGTATTTGGAAATAGGGTCTTTGCAGATGTAACCAAGTTAAAATGAGGTCACAGAGGTAATCAGGGTACATTCTAAACCCAACCACTGGTGCCCTTATGAGACACACAAGAAAATGCCATGACAGAAGGGGAGTTTATAAGCCAAGGAATGCGGTCAAGCATCAGAAGCTATAAGAGGAAGGATTCTTCCCTAGAGCCTTCAGAAGGAGCATGGCACTGCTGACACCCTGAGTTTGGACCGCCAGCTTCCAGTCCATGTGAATAAATTTCTGTTGTTTCAAGTCACACAGTCTGTGGTAACTTGCTACAGCAGCCCAAAAAAGCTAATCATTATTTACATTATCTCTTTATGTATCCTTTATAAAATGTTAGAAAGCAAAACGAAAAGTCAAACCTCTCGAAGAATAGCATTGCCATCATTGGTCATCACGATGCCTCCCATTGGGTCCAAAAGCATCTAGGACAAAAGCAGAAGTTATATTTAAGTGTCTCAGAAAACAGAAAGGGAAAATCTGTAGTCGAAGTTTCAGTATGAGATAAGCCTACCTTCATCATAGACTTGGGTCCCAAACATGTTCGGATGATATCTGCAATAGTCTATGGAAAGAAAATACAAAACATGTAAGCACAAATCAGAAGATGGTGAGTGTGTTAGGGGAAGAGGCATGAGTAACCCACAGAGCCACTGTTTTAACAAGGACACTTCTAAAGTAGGGTTGGCGACCACTTTAAATACAGCACGCCACATGGCTAGATTCTGTTCTTTGCTTTTTCCGCTTTGGGAATGTTTTCTGGATACAGAAAGAAATAACTTTTCACAAGGAAAAAAAGAGACATGCCTTCCAGAGCTTCAGTTTCCCAGCAGTCCAGATAACTGAAGGTCCACGTATTTGTATTTCTTTCCATGATAGTAGCCTCCACCCCATGCTAATTAGATCTAGGGCTTTTTCATTCTTTCATTCAAAAGATATTTACTGAATACCTACCTATCCAGGATCTACAATGAGTACTAGGAATACAAAAGGGAATTAATACAGTTCTTCCCTTCAACTAACTCAGTCTAGTATGAGAAACAAACACAAATAGAATATTATGAGACAACGTACAGCAATAGAATATGCACAAGTTAATATGAGAAGACCATTAGGCCTAGCTCAGAGAGGGAAGGCTTCCTTCTCCTTATCACCGAGAGAGAAATATCCTGAAGGAACGGAAGTCAACTTTTCCTCTGCCAAATTGCAAACAAACACAGAAATACTAGGGAAGGCAGCTACAGGCAAACTATTATAAACAACTTAAAAGATGTGCTACCTACCTTGGCGGCATTGATGTTTCCAGATTGAACTTTTCTTCCAGATTCACGCTTTGTGTTCTGGCCTAAAATAGATAAAAACAAAGGCAACAGCTCAGGACTGCCCCACTGTATATAAGCTATTTATTCCCCGATCTTTGAAAATAAAAACACCCAGGTTTCATGATGTATATACGAATTAAAGCTTATCAACTTGTACTCTTTAAATATGTGCAGCTTATCGTATGTCAATTATACCTCGACAAACTGTTAAAAAGTAAACATACATACTTATGGCTACTTACTTCTTTATTTACTTCAACCCCTGGTATACGAAGAAACAATCCATAAAGCTTCAACTTTGGAATCTTGGTCATCACTTTCCCTCTAGCCAAACATTCATGTATTTACAGCAAGAATTCATAACCTGAGATCTGCGATCCGTGAGATTCTCAAAGGGCTGGTGTCTCTAAAAGCATCAATCTCTCCTTTACGTAAAAAGGGAGTTTGGGGGTTCATATTCTCCTACTTGGATATGGGGAATCATACTGACAGTCCTAGCATAATTACTGATAGTGCCCCCCACTGTGCTGTGGAATGAGAACACACACTCAAGTGTCTGGGTCTGCCAAGATAGTCACTTCATGCTTGGACGTAACAAGAATGCCTCAGTTACCTATTTACCATTAGGAAGAGCTGACTACATATTTAAATAAGGAGCCTAACTGGATACAGCCACTAATGCCAGAGATTAACGCGGATCTCCAAAGGGCTGCACAAGGCACCACTCAGTCACCCCAGGGCCCTCTCAATGGGAGACAAGCCAATGACTATAATTGAACCTAAGTAACGTCTCACTCCTCTCTCCAAATTATATTTTCCCTACAATTTGCTGTATAATTTTCGATCCAGTCCCATCAAAACTAAACACAATTCTCAGGATTTCGATTCCTATTTCAGACAGTGATAACTAAAATCCTGCATGGACCATTCTGATGGATTCATCAGAAAAAACAGGTTTTTCTTCTGGGTTAAGTGAATTCTTGTCTGAAAACAGTCATTTTCCAGGTATAGACAAAATAGATAAAATCTTGGAATAGCATTCTCTACAAAGAAGATGGTGAGGGAGGGAAAATGGCTAGTCAGGCATCTCAAGTGCTCTTGCAAATAGGATACAGAAGTTACACAGGTTGGAATCATACCAAGGGAAGACAAGGGAAATGGGACTCGTAAGTAAGGAAAGAAATCTGGGATGTTCCCGAAGGGTAAAGAGAACCAATCGAGGAATCTGGGAAAACTCAGCTGGTAAGTGGGAAAGATTACAACGTAGGGAACACTTGAGGGAATAATTACATCTAAGCCAGACCAGTGAGGGAAGCAGGGTTACTTCGTGAAAAGGGGTTGACTAACAGAAATTCAAGAGGACAGCTACCGAAGAGGAAGTGGCCAAGGATACCACTCGCTGTTTGCCGGACCCTCTTTTAAACAGCTGTATCTCCTTATCTCATTTAAGCCTCACAATCCTATGAGGAAATACTGTTAACCCTAATAACAAAGATGGAGCCATTTTCAATCAAGCAGTTTGGCCGAGGCCACACCGTTACTAAGGGATGGGCCAAGATCATAAAGCTAGGCCAAACTAAAAAATCTTTATTCATTCAGCTACACACTGAAAATCGCTCAAGGAAGAGTGCAAGGGCGGGGGCTGGGGGTGAAGAACGGAACGCCGTTCCGTTCAACAGGCTCGGCGACAGGAAGGTCAGTTTGCATTTGCCAAGACAGAGGAATGGGTTAAGAGAAGAGAGGAAAACGGGAGAAGGGGCTTCCAAAATTAACGACTGGAAGGCTCAGTGGCCGGACCTGAGCGGGACTGGGCTGAGGCAAGGCTGTAAAGTGCGGAAAAAGAAGGGTGGTGAAGAGGGGGGGGGTCCCTTCCCCGGCTTTCCCACAACTCACTAAGCACGAGTACCGGACGATGGCCCATCATGGCGGCGCGATGCAGAGCCGGGTACCCCGAGGTGGGGGAACCAGCAGAACCTTCTGGAGAGAGATAACCAGCAAAGACCAGAAAACGCTGCTTCCACAGGGCTCACACGCAAACCCGCTACTCTCCGGGTTGCCACCAATCACCGCACCCACCTCACTGACCGGCACGCACACAGACCAATTGACATTCTTAGACCCGCCCCTTACGTAATAACGCAGGGAAAGCTAGATAGAGAGAGCACGATGATGGCAGTGAGAGGGCACAGGCGCTTGCGCAATAGGGTGGCCGCTCCCGGCCGCGTGTAACGCGAACCTCCGCGCAAGCGCCAAGGCTGGGGCAGTTGGCCGACATGCCACTGCGCATGTGTATCAACTACAAGGGTTGGTGCTGGGGTTGAGGCTTTCGATTAACACAGCAGGTGAGGTCCTTAAACTCTTGCGTCTCAGCTCCTCTCGGGTTTCGAAGGTCAAGAAAAGCGTAACAGTTTCCACGCTTTCGTTCCAGCCTTAGCAACCGGGAGTGATGGAGGGGCGGGGCTTAAACCGGTGGTTGAGGGAAGACCCGGCCCGTGTGATGCGGGGTGAAATGGGAGTTGTAGTCCGATCGGACTGTGCTGGGCGGTTAACTATTCTGGGAATTGTGGTTTATTGTCTCTGACTCGTTGCTGTGCGTGGACCTTCACCTTATTAGGTAAATGTCTTCTGCTGAGGCTGTGAACGGTACCGGAGGGTGATGGCTTACTTTTTCCCCGAGTTATCCTATCTAAAACACTTTTTCAAGTGTTCCCTGTAGTGCTCTAAGATTTTTTTTTCTCCACGCCCATTCCCTCCTCTGCCCTCCTCATCTCCTCAGCTACCGGTGCATTAGAGATGTTGGGAAGCCAAAGTTTTTAAATTACCTTACAAGACAGGAAAAGGACGGATATTACAGAAATTGAAACGAGGAGAGAACACAGAATTTTGCCCGTTCATAGGAGACTCTTAAGGTTTGGGCATGGTTACAGTACTATTTTGTCCGGGAAAAAAGGCTGCAGTGCTACTAGAAACAGCTGTTTTCCAAACTAATGAAGGGGCTGTGAGACCAAGATCAATTCAAGAACAATTACTTATATTTGGCCATGAGATAGAACAGTACACCCTTTCACATTTTTTCCTCCCCAAATTGGAACAGCCTGAGCTCTGCTGGGGAGAACTTATGAAGTTGTTAATAGTAAAATAATAGTATGGGTTGTCAGTGGTCATGTAATTCTTTCCCAGGCACCACACTTCAGATGGAGCAGCATTCTAGTCATCCTACTAACAGAAGAGGTGTGTGTCAGAGGCCCTGCTTCCTCTCCCTTAAAACCAGATCTCCTTGGGCTTCCCTGGTGGCGCAGTGATTGAGAGTCTGCCTGCTGATGCAGGGGACACGGGTTCGTGCCCCGGTCAGGGAGGATCCCACATGCCGCGGAGCGCCTGGGCCCATGAGCCATGGCTGCTGAGCCTGCGCGTCCGGAGCACAGGCTCCGCAACGGGAGAGGCCACAACAGTGAGAGGCCTGCGTACCACAAAAAAAACAAAAACAAAAAATAAAACAAAACAACCAGACCTCCTTAATTGCTCAGCTTGTGGGAAAATGAAGCTAGTTGTATGTATATTTTTTCCTGTTACTTATTTAATTGGAAAGTATTTGTATTTGTTCTGCATTTCCCACTAAATGGAAACATTCCTGTATTCCCAGTGGCTAGAACTGGATCTGTTAAATAATAGATGCTCAATAATTTTTTAATATATTTTAATAAATTTTAAAATTTATTTTTGGCTACTTTGGGTTTTAATTGCTGTGGACAGGCTTTCTCTAGTTGGTGGTGAGCGGCGGCTGCTCTTCGTTGCCCTGTGTGGTCTTCTCATTGCGGTGGCTTCTCTTGTTGCAGAGCATGGCCTCTAGGCGTGCGGGCTTCAGTAGTTGTGGCTCACGGGCTCTAGAGCACAGGCTCAGTAGTTGTGGCGCACAGGCTTAGCTGCTCTGCAGCATGTGGGATCTTCCCAGACCAGGGCTTGAACCTGTGTCCCCTGCATTGGCAGGCAGATTCTTAACCACTGTGCCAACAGGAAAGTCCCAGATGCTCAATAATTATATGTTGAATGAATATATTAATTATTCCTTTGTATCTCCTCTTAATACTTAGAACAGAAGACATATTGTTGGCTAGAGTGAACAGATACTCAGACTGAGTGGGACAGTCCCACTTGGTGGCCAGGGAAGTGCCTGAGACCATCTGACTCCAGAGCCTATTCACTTAACTGTTAGGTGGGGTAGATTACTCTATCTGAGAGGCTTGCTTTCTCATAACTTGAACATAAATGAACTAGCTCTTCTCACAGATTATATTGTGCAGTGGTAAGGAGCATGACTGGAGTCTATAGGCCTGGATTTGATTCCGCCATTGGCACATACTCATTGTGGAATCTTGAGCAAATTTCCTAACTTAAGTTTTCTCAAAACAAATGCGGATAAAGCTACCTACTTCATAGGGTCATTATGAGAAATGTATAAGATAATGTATGTAAATCACTTTTTATTATTTTCTCTGTTCTGCTTCCTTTTGCTGCTCCCCAACCTCATCCTCTGTTATACATTGTCCAGTCAGAAATATGGTTCCTTTAGTATGGACTGTGTGTAACATACTCATCAAACCTTAGAATTCAGTAGAAAATGCACCCTCATACACCTAGGAAGGGCCCAAATTAGAAGTGCATTTGCATGGAAGTTCACAAATTTTTCAAATAGTGAGAAGAATCTTGAGGCCCGAGTTTCACCTTCTAGCTCCTTACCATGCTGAATGAGCCATCAAATGTGGTGATGACTCTGGAGCAGGAGTGAGGAGAAGATGGAAGACCTACGGTAGGGCTCAGAAAAATCCACAAACCCAGGGCAAAAACATGGATTTCTCTCACCAAGAGTAACTGATGGTGCTTGATCACTTAATGACTGTCTAAACGGCAATACTGTCAGTTCCATGAGAATAGCAACCATGTCTGTTTAGCTCACTGTGGTATCTTCAGTGGCTGATACATTGCAAGCACTTAACTGTCTCTTATGTGTATGAATGAATGAATTTAATTTTTTTATCCTTTTTTGATCTCATTATGATAGTGAATAATGGATTCCCCACTGTCTCAACCCCTTTAATTCTTTCATAGAACCAGCTGTTCTGCCTTTCCATCCATTGCTCCTCTGTCTACTTTGCCACTTCCTTTTCATTTTCCGAACTCCTGAGGAGGAGTTCCCCAAAGGTCCAGTTTTCTCTCACAGTCTTTGACCTTGGAGAGCTAATGTATTTTTGCAGTTCCTTCATCACCTCTTTGTGACTGGCCTGGCAGTTTGACCTTTCACCTGAGCTCAGTGCCTTCTCTCTGGCTGTTTTTCTAGGCATTTCTATTTGGACTGTCTTGTCTCACCTCAGATCCAATATGTCCAAAATGTGATTTATGTTAATATGACATTACCCCAACTCAGATTCCCTTGAGTGAGAAAGGAAATTCAGAGGCTTGTGCAGTTGGGAGGTTGCTGAGGTAGTCAGAGAGTAGGAAGAAGAGCTACCAGTACCACAGGAACTGGAACTGGGGATTCAGTGCCTGTAGCTATCTGCCCATCTCTCCATCTTTCTCCTGGACTCTCTCTTCTCTCTAATCTCTTGCTTGTATCTGCTTTTCATAGCATGCTAGCCAAATTCAGTAGCTTTCATTGACCCCAAATTTACATCTTCCCAGCATAGCAAATCAGAGGAAAGCAAGCTTTGACACAGAATCTATATATCAATCCCAAGGAATGACTGGCCCAGTTTGCCGCATGTGCTTACCCCTTCAATCAGTCACAGTTGCCAAGGGGGATAGGATACCATGATTGCCCTGTATTGGGTCACATGCTTATTCCCGTTGGAATATGGAGAGGGGTCTGATGTATGTATGACCTGGAATCTGGGGAAAGAGTAGTTTTCCAGAGCAAGGGTTGCTCAGTAGACAGAAATGACGTATGTCTCCTATAGGACTCATGATTTTCTCCCTACAAATCAAATTTTCCTTCTAACGTAACTATTTTTGCCAAAGGTAATCTGTTTTCCCCTTTGAGAACTTCCATGTCCAACCCATTTTAATCCCAGTGGATTAATTAAAGTAGAAATTTTATCATATTTTCTAATCCTAAAAGGCTCAGTGACTTTCTGAGAAAATCTCAGATTTGCTATTGGAAAGGGTCTTCCATGACCCATCCTGCTTTCCCACTCTCCACCCTCTAATTCTGGCCACTTTTTTAGGGCTCCTCATCCTTCTGGCCATATTCTTGCTTCCTTGCCTTTGCTCACACCATGTTTTTTTTCTCCCACTTGAAATATCTTTTCCACTTATCCAAAGCTTCCTGTTTTCAAGGTCCAATAAATATCCTCCACCTGCCTGGAGTCTTCTTTGACTGTTGTACTCGATATCTTATCCCATTTCAAAAACATTCATTTTTACATTTAATCACATCTTAGTGTAACTAAAAGATAAAAGGACTTACTTTCACCCGAGACTGTCAGACTCATTGTTTATGTCCTGTGTTGTTATATCACCATTTCGCCAGTGTCTGATTCGTCTCCCTAAGTAGGTATTAAACACCTAAGAAACCATGTCTTAGATGTCTTGTGTATGCCCTAACATTGAGCACAGTAGTCAGCATGTAGCACAGATCAATAAGAACTTGCAGAATATAAGCAAATTAGATTTTAGCTTATCCCAACCCTGCTTGGTTTTCCTCAGTCCCGCTATGGTTTCTCTTTTGCTTTATATAACTTTCTTTGAAGATATTCAGGCCAGGGTCTCAGCACCTGCATTCATAGACCAGACGCAGGGATCTAATTAGGCTGTCCCTTGTCGGAATGAACTCTGACTTAGTTGCCTCTGATTTTGTTCCAGCCAAAGAGGAAGGTAATGCTGTGCCTCTTTGTCGAGCCAAACCCGCCCCCAACTTTATTAACCTTCAAGCAAGTTCCCCACCAGCCACTTGCCTGAAAATCCCAGCAACAAAGCTGTCCTCAGGTAAGGAAGGATGCAGGGTGGATTTCCCAAATGGACTCAGCAGGGGGAAGGTTGTATGGAGGAGGTGGCTGGAACTGGCTGAAAATTTTATTGCTTGCTAGTAATGTTAGTTGAAAAGTGGCCAGGGAAGGAAATAGTAACAGTTAGCTCAGTTTCTTTGCATTTCAGTTATTCATCCTCCCATGGCAACATCAGTGGGTATTTAGCATACCTGTGGGAAGCCACACAGTGCACTAGACAGTCATGACTCCTGTTTTTGAGGACCTCAGAGTTTAACAAAGAAGTCAAGACCAATAAATACACAAACAATGGATAAATAACTACCAAGGTTAACTAAGAGCTGGATGTGTATAATGTAGTTGAAAACATTAGAAAAAGAATTGATTTCAGCAAGACTGGTGAAAGTTAGACAACAGGAAGAACTTCGGGTCACTGCCGATGACCTTACTATGTCAGGTAAGAAGAATGCTGAGGCATCCCCTGAGCTCTTGAAAGGGAAGTTAGGCCTCACTCTCAGACCATTTCATTCACTCATCAAATATTTGTTGAACACTTATGCGCCAGGTACTTACTCTTCTAGGTGCTGGGGACACAATAGTGAACAAATCAGACAAAAATCTATGCCTTCCTGGAGCTTACATTCTAGACGGGGGAATTAGCCAACAATTATGTAACTAATTACAAAATATGCCAAATAATCATAAGTACTAAGGGAAAAATAAAGCAAGAGAGTGGGTAAAAAGTTCCAGTGGATTGGTTTCAAATAGGGTAGCCAGATAGACTTCATGGAGAAGGTGACAGCTGAGCACAACTGCATCTGGGTTGAGTTGTGCCCCGAAAGATTAGAGCAGTCATCTTATTAGAGCCCTTCCCACCTCAGTACAATTATAAAATCTCTCTTTTGTCTCCTTTGCACCTCCATTGCTCTTCCTTCAGGAATTGACCACAAGCCCAAGGAATGCCTAGGACTCCTAGAATATATGTATGCCAGTCTCCAGCTTGAGACCCAGCTTGCCCAACAACGGATGGCTATTTTTGAAAATTTACAAGCATCCATGACAAAACTGGCTCCTGGGAGAGAAAGCCAGAACTCTTCTCTCCCAACCTTATCTTGCAATCTGTTGTTAAATCACCTGCCCCAATTCAGTAAATGAATTGTGGAACAAAGTTATCGTGTATGTTTTCCCTACTCTCTTCCCAGTAAACCCTTGGTGGAATCTGGGCATATATATTCTACAAGTGGTTGGTTAGTTCACAAGTTCATAGTACGTGTTCATTGAGTGCAAAGCACTATACAAGGCACTTGGGGATACATATAACAGAAGAGAGAGTTTTGGGGGATTTACTATCTAACAAGGCAGATAAGAAAAAGAATTCATTGTAAAATTTAGTGGTACTCTGAGGGGGAATGGAAGTTCAGAGATAGAGGTTAGTAGGATACTGGACCAATCGTGGAATCTTGCTGGAGGAAGTGGTGCCACTTGATGAAGGAGCTGCATTGGATGGCATGGACGGATGAAGTAAGGTAGTTTCATGTCAGTTGGGAAGCTTGGACAAAGACCTAGAGGTAGGAGAATAAGTCATCAAAAATTAGGATAAGAGGGTTTTTTATGCCCAGAATATAGGAGATGAGGCAGAATGTAGAGCAGCTGAGAACAGACAGAGCAGCTTTCCCTGGGGAATTATTCTGGTAACAACTGTTAGAAAACTGTCTGATTTTCATTCTTTTCTTTTTAAATTAATTTAATTAATTTATTTATTTTTGGCTGTGTTGGGTCTTTGTTTCTGCACGCGGGCTTTCTCTAGTTGCGGCGAACAGGGGCTGCTCTTCGTTGCGGTGCACGGTCTTCTCATTGCAGTGGCTTCTCTTGTTGCGGAGCACGGGCTCTAGGCGTGCGGACTTTAGTAGTTGTGGCACGTGGGCTCAGTAGTTGTGGCTTGCAGGCTCTAGAGTGCAGGCTCAGTAGCTGTTGCACACGGGCTTAAGTGCTCCGCGGCATGTGGGATCTTCCTGGACCAGGGCTCAAACCCATCTCCTCTGCATTGGCAGGCAGATTCTTAACCACTGCGCCACCAGGAAAGTCCCAGCTCTGATTTTATTTGAAGCACTAGAGAGCAATTGGAGGCTTTCAAATAGCAGCAAGGCACATATAATGGGCAAAACATTTTGGGGTGAAGGGAGAATGGAAGTGGAAAGGCCTGCACTAATTAATAATAGCAATCTGATACAATACTACCAGGGTCTGGATACAGGGTTTAGAAATAAAGACAGGCAATGGGTAAATCTGAGCTAAATTACAGAGAAGGACTAGTCTTGAGCTTGAAACACCAAGAGACTGCATCCTGAAATTTCTAAGTTGGGAAGTCAGTTTAGCTTTAATGAGGGTTCAAGTCCAGCCATAAGTTTTCAGTGTTTGAGAAGGGGACACCTGAGTTTGGCTTAGCCATTTGAGCTAAGGTTGAGGAATTGGGGTTGGGCATTGAAAAAATTCTGATTAAGCTATTATCCATGGAGAAAGAGAAAGAAATAATTTAAATAATTTTACAAAGATATTTGTGGATAAATAATTTTACAAAGATATTTGTGGATAATAATTTTACAAAGATATTTGTGGACCAAATTGTGGTGCATGGGCTTCTCATTGCAGTGGCTTCTCTTGTTGCGGAGCACAGGCTCTAGGCGCATGGGCTTCAGTAGTTGCAGCACGTGGACTCAGTAGTTGCAACACGTGGGCTCTAGGGCACGCAGGCTTCAGTAGTTGTGGCATGCAGGCTCAGTAGTTGTGGCTTACAGACCCTAGAGCACAGGCTCAGTAGTCGTGGTGCATGGGCTTAGTTGTTCTGTGGCATGTGGGATCTTCCTGGACCAGGGCTCGAACCTGTGTCCCCTGCATTGGCAGGCGGATTCTTAACCACTGCGCCACCAGGGGAGTCCCCAAAATGCAATTTTTGAATAAAGTCTGAATGGGGTCCCCTCTTCCCTTAGCCAGTGATCTCTCCATTCACACTTAAAATTTAAGAGTCATGCTCCCACTAGAATGGCTGTCATCAAGAAGACAAAAGACAACAGTTGCTGGTGAGGATGTGGTGACAAGGGAACCCTTATACCCTGTTGGTGGGAATGTAAATTGGTTCAGCCACTATGGAAAACAATATGGAGATTCCACAAAAAATTAAAAATATATCTGCCATATGATCCAGCATTCTACTACTGGGTATATACCCAAAAGAAATGAAAACAGTATTTCGAAGAGATAAATGCACTTCCATGTTTATTGCAGTATTTGCAATAGCCAAGGTATGGAAACAACCTAAATGCCCATCAGAGGATGAATGGATAAAAACGATGTGGTATGTATACACAATGGAATATTTATTCAGCCATGAGAAAAGAGGATATCCTGCCATTTGTGACAAAATGGACAGACCTTGAGCACATTATGCTAAGTGAGATAAGTCAGTTAGAGAAAGACAAGTACTGTATGATATCACTTATATGTGGAATCTAAAAAAGTCAAACAAAAAATAAAGTAAAGTAAAATGGTAGTTTTCAGGGGATGGGTGTGGGGGGATAAAAAAGTGATGTTGTTTAAGGATACAAACTTGCAACAAATAGTAAATAAGCCATAGTGATCTTAATGCACCATATAATGAATTTAGACAACAATATTGTACTATAATTATGTAATGTGGTATCACTACAACAGCAATCATATTACAAAATATAAATATATCAAAATAACACATTGTACACCTTAAATATACACAATGTTATCTGTCAAATATATTCAATAAAAAAAGTTATAGTCACGCTTAATGAAAACATATTCCATGTTCATGGATAGGAAGACTCAACCTTTTTTTTTTTTTTTTTTGGCTGCACTGCCCAGCATGCGGGATCTTAATTCCCTGACCAGGGATGGAACCCACGCGCCCTGCAGTGGAAGCACGGATTCTTTAACCACTGGACCGCCAGGGAAGTCCCAGGGGAAGACTCCATCTTGTTAAGATGTCAGTTCTTCCTGCCACTGCAATGAGAAGCCTGCGCACCGCAATGAAGAGTAGCTCCCTCTAGCTGCAACTAGAGAAAGCCCATGCGCAGCAACAAAGACCCAACACAGCCAAAAAGAAAAAGAAAAAAAGACAAATTGTACTGCCAGGGATAAAGAGGGACATTTCATAATGGTAGATAGGTTAGGATAAAATGTTATATTCAAGCAATGGAGTGCTACTTAGCAATAAAAACAAACTACTGATACATTCAATAACATGAATGAATCTCAAAAACATTACATTAAGTGATGGACATCTTGCAGAAAAGAGCACACATTGTACCATTCCATTTATTTGAAGCTCTAGAACACACAATATTAATATATGATGGAAAAAAAACTAAAAACAACAGTTGCCTCTGGGGATGGAGTGGGAATGAGAATTGACTGGGAACGGGCAGAGGGAACTTTCTGGTTGATGGCTCTATATTTTGATATAGGGTTTGGGTTACACCGATGTATGCATTTGTCAAAACTCATCAAACGGTACACTTAAGATTTGTGCGTTTCATCAGATGTAAATTTTACCTTAAGAAGAAACTGTAAACAAATATTGACCTCTAGTTAATGATATGCATACAGAAGGTTTAGGAGTGAAGTATACTGATGTCTGCAACTCACTCTGAAATGCATCAAAAAAAAAAAAAAATAGGGGCTTCCCTGGTGGCGCAGTGGTTGAGAGTCCGCCTGCCGATGCAGGGGACGCAGGTTCGTGCCCCGGTCCGGGAAGATCCCACATGCCGCGGAGCGGCTGGGCCCGTGAGCGGCTGGGCCCGTGAGCCATGGCCGCTGAGCCTGCGCGCCCAAAGGCTGGGCCCCAAAAGGGAAAAGGCAAAAAAAGGGGGAGGCCGGTTAACCAAAAAAAAAAAAAAAAAAAAATAGATGGAAGGATGGATAGATAGTTATGCAACAAATAGAATAAAATGTTATGGTTGAGTTTAGGTATTGGTAGTCCATGAGTTTTCACTGGAAAAAATTCAACTATTATGTATGTTTGAATATTTTCATAATAAAATGTTGAAAATAAGGGTCCTTATGTTTAGAGATACATACAGAAACATATACAGATGATGTCTGTGGTTTGCCTCAAAAGAACCTTGGTAGAGGGGCCTGGGTTGGGGTGTGGATGAAATAAAATTGATCATTGTCTTATCTGGGTGATAGGTACTTGAGACTCCTGAATAAATTCATCAATGGAATTGTTTTAAAAATGAGGTGTTTTACAGCATCGCTGCATTCTTCGTGATGAGATAATCCTAAAAATGATAACATTTGTTGTTCCTTTTTTCTTCATTTCTTCATTCAGTCATTCACTGGGTGCCTCTCATGTGGCAGGCACTGATCTTAGAGCTGGGGTTAGAGCAGTGGACAGAACAAAGTCTCCATCTCGTGGAGTTTTCATTTTAGTGCAGGGAGACTGACAGTAAGAAAACAAGTAAATACATAGTTATGTTGGATGACAGTAAGAACTATTAAAATATAGTGTAGTACACAGTTCTGCAAATGGGGCCAGGGACTCCTGAGTGTTCCTAAAACCCTTTTAGGGGATCCTTGAGGTCAAGACAATTTTTGTAGGAAGTAATACTAAGACATTATTTGCCTTCATTCTCATTCTCTCATGCGTATACAGTGGGGTTTTCCAGAGGCTACATGGATGTGATATCACAACAGATTGGATACAGGTATGAGAATCCAGTTATTTTTCTATTAAGCCAGACATTAAAGAGATTTGTAAAAATGTAAATAGTGCTCTCGTTAATTTTGTTTTGGATAATATAGTTATTTTTATTAAAAATATTTGTTAACATGAGGTTGCTAATGTTTTTAAATGAATACATGAATATTTTAAAATGTTCTAATTTCTAACAAAGTAAATATAGAGAGATATAACCCATATAAACAAAAGCTGTTTGGGGTCCTCAATTTTTAAGAGTGTAAAGGGGTCCTGAAACCAAAATTGTGAAAACCCTTGGTATAGTGTAATGGAGGGAAGGGGGAGATTGTGGGAGGTAAGGGAAGCCTTACTGATAAAGTAGCATTTGAGCAGAGACCTAAAGGTAGAGAGGGTATGAGCCATATAGGAGTAGAACATTCCAGGACAAGGGAACAGAAAGTGCAAAGGCCATGAGGCATGCCTGGAATTCTGGAAGAACAGACAGATATTTGCAATGGCATGACTGCAAGGAAGAGTTGGAAGGAGGTGAGATCAGAGAGGTGATGAGAATCCCAGATGATGTGTAGGGCATTGCAGGATATTTTAAGGACTTTGGCTTTTTTTATTTTTATTTATTTATTTTTGGCTGTGTTGGGTCTTCATTGATGCACTCAGGCTTTCTCTAGTTGCAGTGAGCGCGGACTACTTTTCGTTGCGGTGCACGGCCTTCTCATTGTGGTGGCTTCTCTTGTTGTGGAGCACAGGCTCTAGGTGCTCGGGCTTCAGTAGTTGTGGCACAAGGGCTTCAGTAGTTGTGGCACATGGGCTCTAGAGCGCAGGCTCAGTAGTTGTGGCGCACGGGCTTAGTTGCTCCGCGGCATGTGGGATCTTCCCAGACCAGGAAGATGAACCTGTGTCCCCTGCATTGGCAGGCAGATTCTTATCTACTGCGCCACCAGGGAAGCCCAGGACTTTGGCTTTTACTCTGAGTGAAATGGGAAACCATTGGAGGATTGTGAAGAGTCATGTGATCAGAAATACATTTATTTTGACAGGATGACTCTAGCTCCTGTGTTGAGAATAGATTGTGTAGA